AGAACTGTGTGGTAATTAGCACAAGGAGTTGAATCAGGTGTGTTAAACGAGGGGAAACCCAAAAATGTGCAGGGCTCCGGCCCCCCAGGACTGGAGTCGGACACCTGTGGTGTACAGAAAGCATCTCTGCTTAGACCCAGACCAATACCCAATTAGTTTCCATTGGCTGCCTGGTGTTTTTGAAGCAATGAAAGTGATTTAAATGGGTCCCCAGGCTCAAGGCTCTTTATTACACTCGGCTGCCTTGCTTTAGGCTAAATTACTTAGCATCATTGACATAGCACTGCGGATCGCCCCCTTTATAAGCAGAGGGTCATGAGATCAGAAGCCACTTCCTGCCAGACACTCACTGCAGCTCCTCGCTGTCCAGCTGCTGCGTCAGGCTGCGGCCCTGGGACAGCTCCTGGGCGACCACCCCCCTCTGCTCCTCAATGGCCTCCAGCTGCTGGATCAATGACTCCTCTTCCTCCTTCAGCTGCTGCAGTTCTGCCAGCAGGGTGTCTTCCTCTTCCTCACGCAACTGGGAGAGAAGCTCAAAACAGCTCCTATAATGGATGGGGGGGGAGTTAAGAGCAGTGCACACAAAGAATGAAGAGTATAAAAGTGTATCGTACTGGCCCCCCCAACCTGGACCAATGCAATTATTTTCCAAATTTTTTAGGGCCCCTGAATTGGAATCATCCTACTCCCCCCCTCCCTTTACGGAACCCCTGCACTGAAGACGTGCATTTATTCTATATAACCGCAACCAGAATTAATTATTTATTTTAACAATTTAAAATATGTAGCTAAATTAGGCTTGCACAATGTGTAACGTTAATATCAACGCAGCGCATGTTATGCATATACAACTGTCACGTAAAGGAGCGCAATTCTGATATTTTGAAACCTTGGCAACAAAATTTGCCGGAGTGCTGGGGGGGGCAGTGTTTCCAAACAGAGATCATAGAGTTTTGCTATTATAACATTGTTTTTTACTCTGTGAAGGGAAATATACCAAGCTTTGCAATTTTAATGATCATGTGCTGCTGCTTTTGTATCATAATCATCTTCAACCATACTGTTAAAATTACTCCCAGACAGTGTAGCGCCTTTGTGAGAAGTTTAACAAAAATGAGTGACGAGGAGAAAAACGCACAAGAACTGGTTGCCAAAAGACATCTGCCTCCCCTTTATGGAAATATTTTAGGTTCCATAAAGACAATACTGAGCAAAACTTAGTGATTTGTTGACACTGCTTTGTGAGGACAAAGTGCAGCAACATCACCAACCTAACCCTAACCCTATTTCACAAACTCTATTGGTAGATAAATTTTGTGTAGCTTCTGCTCCAAAACTGCTTACACTTGTACCTGGGTGTTCACTGGAAGCTCAGCCTAGATGCTCTTATGCCTAGTTGACTCCTTGACAGCATGAATGTTTGAAATTGTACATTTGCCTCGCTTGTACATTGCTTTGGACGAAGTGTCTGCTAAAATGCAGATAAGAAGTTTTATTTGGCTCATTTTTCGACTTTTATTAAAAACCACAATATATATCACAAAAAAACATACTGAGATTTTTCCAGTATTGTGCAGTTCTAAGCTTAACCAATGCCACCAAAATGGTACGCTTCTAAAGGATATATTTTCAAAGACAATTTATGAGCCCAGCAGGTGGCAGCATAGAGCCACTTTGCTCATTCCTTGTTGACTCACCTGTAGTTCTGGCACTCATTCTCTGTGATGTTGAGCTGTGTGTCCAAGTGGTCCAGCAGAGTGTCAGTGCACTCTTCACACAAGGGATGGTCCACATCGGTTTGACCCGACATGATGTCAAAGAGGTCGCTTGTCACCTGTAGAAATTGGAGAGGGTTGAACGTAGATGTATGTTGAGTGGTTCTCAAGCTGCTCCACTTGATGAGATTTTTCAGAATATGTAAATGTAAAACTATAGGTATGGCTCTAACTTGATTTTTTCTTTGTCACTCATAAATATACTTTCATCTCAATCAACCATTCTGTTAATTAAGGGCACTGAACTTATCAAGTAACACACTTAATAAAATAATCATGATAATTTGTTCTGAGACAAAATATATATATTTATTTATTCGCTAATGCAACGGGGAAAAAATGCCAAGATTAATCAGAATTTAATCAGCAGTAATCAAGCCTAATTAAGAAAAAGCTCAGCAGGAACAGAAACTAGCAGATGTAGAGTTACTCCAGGACCGAGTCTGATCTCTGTGGCTGGATGCAAGACCGAAGTGGGGTGTTTGCAGACCTCTCACCTTCAGCCTACGACTTAGGTTTTCCATGGTGCCTCCATCGGATGCCTCTCCAATCAGCGTGAAGCTGTTGGCACTTTCTGTGGACATCATCCTACAAAGGATACAACATCAGGGTGGAGCGTAAAGGTCCGTGGTATGTGCACTGGTAGACAAGTCTGCTTTGTTAAGTGAGCCAGCTCAATGCTTACAGACTTATGCTCCAGTATTGCACAATTACAGCAATTACATAATCTTACCATTAGGGTCAAATTAAACCATTTATCAGCTACTTTCTATACTGAGAGGGATTAAGACTTGATGCTAAACATGTGAGTGTTAAAAGCATCTTGCACATCTCTTCCCATGAGTCAGTTCTGTTTAGACATGGGCATCTTCGGGAGATGGTAGAGATAGCACATCTTACCGTGCTGGGGGTATGTACTTCCTTGCCACTCCATCTTGTTTGCTTTCCACAAATGTTTCCTTTAAAAAAGTGTAACAAATAATGGAAAATGAAAGTTTCAGGGAATTGCATAAACATTTTAAACCAGTGGTTCTCAACCTTTTTTGCACCGCAACCCAATTTTTACCATCCCAGCTCAGTTGCTACCCTATATATCAAGTAAAAGTTTAAATTAACGCTATGATCAGGCATGCAGTGCACTCTGCAGTTTGTGCCAATCAATGCCTATCGCACAAATCTGATTGGATGTGCCAGTGAATTATAAATTAAGCATCTGTGGTTTGGCTTTTTGGATTGGTTGAGTTTTCACTAGTTTTGCACTAAATATTTGCAGTCCCAAGACCTGTTTATATAGATTAATTCTAGGATCATAGCTGGAAAATCTGATCGTGGATCAGCATAGGAGCTTGCTGGTTTTTAAAATGCATGATTTTAAAATTACATTTCCAACTATGCTTCAGAACTTTCAGAACTTGCGGAGACCCAACCACGGGTTGAGATTCTCTGTTTTAAACAACACTAATGACCCTTCTTGACAGAGATTACCGCTTCATGCTAAAACATGACATTTAAGACATTAAGACATTTAAAATATGTCAAAAAGATTCTGCTTACATCCATAAAGCTCTAAATCTGCTGATTCAGGCCAAGAAACCAGTGGCCTGTACTACGAAGCGGGGTTACTGGCTTATCGGGGTAACTTGTTGGATTTAAGGTAGTCTGGGCAAAATGTAAGTGAGCGAATATGAAGTCCATTTAAGCTGTGGTACCTTAAATCCGACAAGTTACCCCGATAAGCCAGTAACCCCGCTTCGTAGTACTGGCCACAAGGATGTGACTAAATGGGCTCAAAACAGCATCTCACAGGTCTCACATAAACACACCAGTGGCATGAAATGTGGAGGCGACGGCACCCCTGACCGCTACACACCTCTGTGGCGCTCTCTTCCTCAGTGCTCTCCACCTGTTTGCTTTGTGTCACTGTCACTAATGGGGCTACAGGGCAGAAACGTAGTGGAGAAAAAAATAATTGTTATACATGTTATGCATGTTAATGCAATAATGTTGGCTCAGATTAATACCAGGTCAGGTAGACAGCGCTGCTAAATGCCGCAAAAATCATCCAGTCCTGCTCTCTGATATACAATGCTTTGGATATAAGAATATGCTAAATAAAAAAAAAAAACGTTATGTTATGCAAATACTAAACTTCACATTTTTGGACTGCAAATTTTTTAAAAGTGTAATGATTGCGAAATATAACAATGTCTTGTCAATATCGTTTAAATAAAAAAAGCACAGGATTAAATAACTTTAGCACTGAAGCGCCGTATGGAGAGCCGTCCTACCTATGAGCTCCTGGATGGTGACGCGGTCCAGCACGTTGAAGGATGTGTCCAGTTTGAGAGGCTGACTACAGCGCTGACACACGAAGCTAACCTGCATGGTGGAGCTGGAGGACTTGGAGCCCTCCATAGCTGCGCTCTAAGGCAGGGTGTCACAGATGTAGCTAAATCGTTCACAAGTGCTGAGCAGGGAAGAGGAGGTGAGATTCACTAAATATGTCATCTCCCGAAATGCAATGTTTCATCTGACACTTCAATGACTTAAAGTCATAAAAGAGCAATATCACCAACAGCAATAAAACATCGTTACCGTTACATTTAAATGGAACAGAAAATGTCACAAATAAAGCAGAACAATCTGGTTGGCCAAAAATTAAGTAATTTCATTGCACTTATAATGACTGTCTTGGTGAAATGTGATATGGAATGAGAAAAACAGGCTGAGGTGATACAGCTTCTGCTTTAAGCTAAACCAATCGCAGACTTGAAAACAGTATAAGTACTGCACGTACTTACACTGTAGCTTCTCATCAGACTCGCTGTTTTACATTACGCAAATAAACCAAATGAAAACGGGTAGCAAACGCCTAACACCAATAATGGCAAAAAGATACGGCATTTACCTGTTTATACACCAGCCGTTGAGTTACACAGTCGTTAATGGTAGCTAATCCTTCTGTTGTCGAGTTGAAGAGTAAAATCCGTGTAAAATCAAACCTGAATCATTCCGCTGAAACACTTGTAAGCTTTTAATGGCCTATTCGACAATAAACACTGAACGGGAAATTTCAAAACTGCAGCACTAGCAGTTAGCTAATAAGGCTAATGGGAAAAGCTGCGTTCATAACTGTAAGACATTTCCGGCACTGTACTTGTTTATTGCGGAAATTACGCAATGATCGTGCGTCAGGACTTCTAGGAGCAGCCCATTTGTAGTTCTTTTGCAGGAAGGTAGCCTGCTCACGGATGTACGAACGCACCAAGAATGTTTCTGAAAAAGTGAATTTCAGAGTTTTGTATACTAATTTTGGGAGACATACAATAACAATTAGCTATAATTTGTATATGCACTGAAAGTACATATACAACCCAAAACAAACGCAGAAGAGAAACTTAAACGCGAGTTGGCTGCAAAGCGGTCATGTGACAGCAAAGTTGCGGGAAAACCGAAAAAGAGTCCAGCTGGTGAGCTGGTCTGGTGTTTGTCTCCTCATATTCTCTAATTTTGTTCCAGATCCGTAATTTTGCCAGGTATGTTATCCATTTCCGCAAACTTAATAATAAACATTATAATGTATGCGTAGGTAGGTAACTGTCAGTGGACTACCAGTGTCGGATGAAGTAGTAGGGCCGTCAAACCAGTACATTAGGAAGCGATCTCTAGGTGAGTATTGCAGTGACTGAAACGACGGCAACTTTTGATGTCGGATCAGCTGCGAAATGTTAATCTTACGTGCTGTTACATTTACTATGTCGCTATTGTAGGTTTGCTGGTTTGGTGTCTGATTGATAACTCTTGAAATGTTTGGGTTGGATCAGGAATCGTCAGACTGTCCGTACACGGACAAACGTGTCTATGGCAAGTCACTAATGTATCGTATCAAACTGTTTTAAATGCGATGTCCGTATAAAAATAGCATTTTTTATCAAAATGTACTTAAGAATTCGTCATGGATTTTACTGTACGTAAGGGGTATTTTGTAATTCTGTGACATTTTTTACAGATGCTGTAAAAAAAAAAAAAAGCAAGTTGTTTTAGTTGTCTGCAATGGATAAAGTTATGGAAGAGCCGAAGATTGAAGAAGTGAGACGGAGTATTTATATCATTTGGGAAAATCTCCAGTGCCCAATATGGTGAGTGAAACCGTGCAGGAAGTCAACTTGAATGAGTAAAATGACTTATGAAGTTCTACTTTTTTAAATTAACCTTTACTGTAATTCCATTTTATTTTATAAATCAAGATTGTAGTGGATGATAAGTTAAAGTATGTTAATGGATACATTTTTAAATGTTAACTTTTAATTACGGAAAAGAGAAATTGCATGGTTGCTTCTTCACATTGAGTGGGGTCAGCTGAGGTGCTTTGGGCATCTTATACGGATGCCACCTGTGTGACACAGAAGGGGACTCTAATGGGTGGCGGCCCCAGGACTGACCCAGGATGTGTGCAAGAGGGATTACATCTGCCATCTGGCTTGGGAACATCTGGGAGTCTCTCAGAATGAGCTGCAGACAGAGGTCTGGCCTGACATTAGGGGTGCCACCATATACCGGTATTGATAGTAACCATAATGTTTAAAAATAAATGTGGTATTTTGCACGTCTTATAGCTTTGATTCACTCTGAACTGAAATATGAAGTTTGGCGTATTTTGTGTTTCAGCCATATATATATTACTCCTAATCTCTGTGGGGGGGGGGGTAGCCTTGGTTATCTTTTCACCATCCATTAAGAAGTGTTATTGTCTACATTTTCTATATATATCACAGTAATATCTTTATCATTAATTCTTTTGGCCGCGATAATCGTGTAGTGAATACACACAGCCCTATCTGATGCGCTTTGGCATGTGGGAAGCCATACAACGGTGAATAGGAGCAGAGTAAAATAACAGAAATAATAGTTTTTAAGTACTCTGTATGACATCACATCCATGTCAAAACTAGAGGTATGGTGTCAAATCAAACTTGCCGCAACCTGAATTTGAATTTATTTACCCAAATTTGAATGTGTACCCGAGCTTGAATTTCATTACCTGAATACCAAAACGTGAATTTGAATATGTTTACCTGAGCTTGAATTCATTATCCAAACTTTTATTTATGTTGCTTGTGTGGTAAAAATTCAAGTTCGGGTTGTAAGATTCAGGTCAAGAAAATTATTGTTGAGATATTCAGGTTAATAAAAACAGGGAAATCATCCAGGATGCTCAGAAAAAGTAATGGCGCTTGGATCTAATTTAGCACAATCCCGGCCAATCACCAGTCATTTGAGTTGGGGTTTTATACATCCACCACCTTAATACGGTGGCCAATAACATGCTGCAAACTCAGGAAACACAAATTCTATTAAACACATGCAAAACAAAAAATCATAGTATTCACAGCTAAAATCAAACCATTCAGTTAACATCTCATGTCTATACCAAATAGCTGTATTTTTGTAAATGGGTAAAGAAGCCCCGTATTTGTATTTTGTTTTGACCACATATTGTAATCCAGTTTGTGAGCGAGGATAACTATCAAATCGAGAATGGGGGAAAAAAAACATTCAAGTAGAATTGAGCACAATGTAGTAATACTGAGCACGATATTACGAGTATGACACACGTGCACGTACTTCTTTCTCTGCTCACGAGTTTCATATTTGTGCTTGTGAATGGGATTTTTACACGTGCAGCATGAAAAAAATAAATCTGCAAACACTGTGTTTTATCTGCCTCTAGTTTTGACATGGATGCGACGCCATACTTTGTGTATAAAAGTGTTGTTTAAATTTTATGTATTTTACAGACTATTTTATCAAAAGTGACACACAGTTGAGAGCAGGGTGAGCCTAGGGGTGGAGGAGGGGTCTCTCAACCGGATGGTTGAAGGGGGGGAGATGTCCTCTTGGTAAAATTTGCATACCTTGGGGGGGGGGGGGGGGTCTCTGTGAATTGATGCAAATTTTTCAAAATACAGGTAAATTTTACATGATTTTATATGAGCCACTGACCTTTCGAGCACAGGCCTGACTCACGGAACCACACAGAGCACCATCAAATAAATTAAATGTAAATGAAATTATAACTACCTTGCATGATTGTGTGAGGCAGAGATTTGTGCATGCCGGGTTTAAGACAAATAAGCGTAGGGTGTAAATACAAGGTGGCTGAGCTGATCATCTATAGTGAAGCTGTACTTAAGCACTCAGGCTAAGTACCCATGAGAATTTCCTGCTAGATGCATCAGTTGTGTGACTATCAGTTAAAAAATGATCTGATCAGGGTGGAAAAATTCTAAATAAAATATTATTATCAGCATACAATAAATATGTCTGTAATGGTATCTGTTCTGTCATCACTTACACTGGGACCTTGCCCAGACCCCTTTTCTGTTTTTCCACTGTGGGCTCAGCTGTTGCATGGTCATTTTGTTTCCCAGTGTTATTGATCAGATGAAGTGCAGACAGCCATTGATCAATGTGCTTGCTGTTCTCTTTGTGGCCTGTGATATTTCTGGTCACATCGCTGGCATGTGGGAAACACTGATGTTTTTTTTCCCCCAGTTTGATTTATGACCTTCTGTTTTGTAATTCTGATTCTTTTACGCTGAGATTTTATGATTAATTTATAATCTTTCACTGTTTTAATCCAGTATATTCATGGTTTGTTATATAGTTTTATATTGTTGTCATTTGTTGTCTTTCTATAGTTTGGATTTGATGAGCTCCCCCGTCTCCACAAAATGTGACCATCAGTTTTGCAGGTGAGTCTCAGTAGAATGTCACTTTTAAGAAGGTACATATTAAGTTTTAGATCTGCAACCTTTATGCTAATAAAGTACCCAATGCTTATTTGAATCATAACATTTGTGTTTCTGTACATAAGGTAAGTTACCATTAATCTAAAATACTGTAGCCCTGCTTTGTTCATCCTGATTGCTTGTCAAATCGTTATTAGGTTTTGCATAATGAGGCTGCTGGACAACGGCAAGACGCGGGAGGCCAGCTGTCCAGTTTGTAAAGCGAAGGTGACTAAAAGGTGACTCATCTGATTTTCTGCCACCAGCTTTTTCAAATTTGCGCAGCTCCTGTCTGCTATCTTGGTCTGGAATTGCTAGTAAATTCCTGTAACTGTTATCAGTTGATTTCAAACACCGCCGTGTCCTACAAAGCTATTCTTTGTCTTTAAGGTCAGCATTATCTGCCTGGTATATGTATGTGATGTGGATTAGTAAGTGAATACCTCGTGAGGCTTAATTCCCCAGCGCTCTTGAATACTGTCCACAGAAGTTTGCAAGAGAGCCCAGGGTTCAAGAGACTGGTGGAGGGACTGAAGGGCTTGGTGCAGGCCTTTGAAGAAGATACTTGTGTGGGATGTGAGTCTCTCTGTAGTTGTACCTTGGGATGCCTCCGATGGCGAACAGTGAAATGTGTTGAGACAGTTTTTCAATGTGTGACCTGTTCTTTTCCTAGATAACAGTAAAGTGTCCCAGAAGCTAGAAAACTATGGGTAAGTACAATATTAAATTATGATATGGCAAATGGCAGGAATATACAATTTTTGGTTATTCTCTTGGTAAAATAATATGGTTTGGCGGGATATTGTGGGTGTCGTCATTTGTTATTTTGAAAGCGAGCATTTTCAGAAGGTTATAGCCCATTTGAGGAAGGAAAAACATGTAGGGCAGTTTTATTCCTATTTGTCAAGTGCTGTGGAGAGGAGATGCAAAGAGGTCCAGCTTCAGGAAGGAAACACGTCTGATAGCAGACCTGAAAAAAGCACTGCTGACAATAGCCAGTCCAAAGGATCTGAGGACATTACAACTCCTTCCGCTGAAGGTAAAATAATGTTGCCTGATTTCCTGTCATTCTCTAAAAAAAAGCCATAAGAAAATTTGCAAGTGATGTCAAGAATTTGTTCTGAAACACTTATTACAGCAGATCACAGCAATTTTGGTTAAGATGTTTGCCTTTCTTCTTTGTTTAGTTAAGGAAGGTTTCGCAAGACTCATGGACCTTAAAGATTCGTGTGCTGTCACCTCCGACAGAGAGGATTTGGAGAGTGCAGTCGCTGACTTTCAGTGTACCTCTGGAGGAGAAGCAGATAAGAATAGCAGGTCTGGTAATTCTGTTCCTGAAACGCAGGTTCCGCCTCTGCAATTTAAAAAGCATGCATCCACAGATAGGTGAAATTCCCAGAAGATAAGTGGCAAAAACACACTGTCAACTGATGATCTTTCACTTGACAGGAAGGACGCTGGTGAAGAAGACGCAATCAGTGAGAGCAGAGAAACACCACCCTCAGATCCAGCTGCAATTTTAGACAAAAGACAGAAGAAAAGCCTGGAAAAGGTATCTGAGTGGCTTTTAAATATCTCTCCAAGTGCCGCAGGCAAAGGTGGTTTAGATCCCAGTTGCAGTTCCCAGCATGACTCAGAGGACTGCTTGTCTGATGGAAACACTAGTTCATCCACCGTGGAAAAAGACAAAGATGAGGACGAAATTAGGAAACCTGAGAGGTCTGGGTACAGCCTTTGTCTTGAGGAAAAAGTGTTTGGAGTGGTCTACAAGAGGGGTCGAAAGTCTGTGAGACCCCAGGTAAACAGGTGTTTAGAGAGCTTAGAGGCTATCGAGGTCTCACACCTGCGTCCTTCCAGTTCGATTAAGACACCAACGAAAGCTGCCAAGAAGAGGAGTAGCAGCAAATTGAGTCCTGATTTTATTAAGAGACCTCACATTGAACGGGAGGATGCCAATTCTGGGAAAAGGAAGAGTGGCGCCGAAGTGTGTGAAATGGGAGAAATCAATGGGAAGGTGACAAAGGGATGCGAGTCTTCAGAGGAGAAGGAAGAACTGAAAGTCAGCTCTGTCTTTGAGGTGCCACTTCGAAACACTACAAGGACAAACAAAACTAAAATGCAGGGGGTGTCGCAAGAGGCAGGAAGCAAGCTGGTACAGACGGACGAAGTGGAGGGAGACGCTACAGAAAAGAATGCATCAAGTGATAAAATGTGCCTGACTAATAAGAAAAGGAAAACTTTGGCTCGTAAGAGGCTGTCTAAACGAGCTAAGGCGCTGGACCTGGTTACTGTTGAAATAGACGACCCAGATCCTGTGCTTAAGCCCACAGAAGGAATTCCCCTTGCGGCTGACGTTCAGATCGACAGTTACTCCAGTAGTGAGGACCAAAGGACCCCTGGTCTCAGGTTATTCAGACGGAGTGAAAGGTTGAAGCTCTTTACAGAAGAGGTTCAAGGAAACGGAAAGAAGGCCTTGGCAAAGAGCTCCACGAAGAATGCCATTTGTGACTCAGAAAATGGGCAGGGGAAGAATATTGCAGCACCTGACATAGTTGAAAAGGTTCTTAATCCATTGACAATGGAGGTGCAGAAGACTGTTGTTAGGAATGGGTGTGTAGCTTTTGTGGATTTGTCAGGCATTGAGATGGACGAGTTAAGCGTTGGCAAAGACATGGGCCAGTGTGAACAGAAGCCGTGCCATACTGAAACAGATCATCCTATGGCTAATAGTGCTGTAGAAGGTCTTCAGGTTACCCTGGCATGTTCACCTGTCACGACTGACCACCCAGTGTCCCCAAGGAAGCATGGGTCAGATGCTGTAGTGCCTCTGTCCCCTGGGAACTTAACAAATGAGCTAACAGATGCTGAGTTTAAACAAGATAGAATCGACAGTGAATTAGACACTGAACAGTTGCTGAAAACCTTTAAAACCACAAAGAGAAGATCTTTCTGCATTGGTAGTCCCAGTAACAAATGTTTGAACAGAGGTTCATTTAATTCTGAAAAGCTGCCCCAAGGAGAGGTGCCTAATCCAGAGGTTAAGCAGAGTAAAGATAAAGTACTCACAACACCCGAGTTGGTTTGTGTGGCTGATTCTGCAGAATTAGTACAGCTAGATGCAGAGACATTTTCTTTAGGCCTGGAAAATCATTCAGCTTCCACAGATTCATCGAATCCTACTGTTCATAAAGTGTTGTCCCCTAAGAGCAGTAGGGTTGGATGCCTAAGGAAGAGTGATGCACTTCTAAATATATCAGCATCTAAGCACAAGGATTCGGCAGAGCAGCTACGTTTAAATGCCTGGGAAAATAATCACAGTTGTTCAGTCTGTGGTTCTAGTGGTACAGTTGAGTCCAATGGAGTCAAATTCCCTGTAGGAAAACAAAAAAATCAAAGTTCTGCAGTCAGCAGTGAGGAAGTGGGCCCTGCTTCTGAAGAGGAACCACAAAACCCTTCTGGAAGGATCACTGAGGAGCCGCACCCAGGACTACAGAGTACAAATCCTGCAGTCCCTTCAGGAAGTGCAGATATTGCAGCTTGTAACTTAAAAGTGGATACAGTGTCTCCTGTGTGGGCAGTCAATAACTTATCGACATCCTCCATGACCCCAGATGATCTACTGCCTCCAAATATTGTGGTTCTCGCTTCCATCAGAAGTGCAGCTAGCTCCAGATCAGAGGATCTTCCCCTTCAGTTGTGCAGTCAGATAAATTTATTGAAGCGGAGAAGGCCTCAGAAGCTGGAGTCCTCGGAGTCTGAGGACAGCGGAGAAGATGACCAGCTCCCTTCACTGGCCAAGCTGTTGGGACATGCCACCTCTCACTCGGAGGATCTGCCCCTCCTGGACCTAGAATGTCCTAAAAAACGTTCCAGTGGTGAGGCATCTCTTTCTGAAGTTCCAGGCAGATGCCAGAGTCCCTGCTCTGGTCCAGAGGGAGTAACTGCCAGCCAGGTGTCTGTAGACCTCTTTGGAACTCCAGAAGAGTGTGAGTTGCTTGCATATTTACTTGTTTATAATTCCTTTGGTCTTCCTTTTAGCCAATAGGTTTGTCCTTGCTTAGCTCTCTAGCTGTCTGTGCATGCAGGTGAAGGTGCTGCTGGTGCCCATGGATTCTCTGGAGACTCACAATTTTCCACTGAAATTATTGGCACCCAGGTGAGGACATGCTTGTGTTTTTCCAGAGTTAAGTTCCCGATTCTGCTAAATAATGTAAATAAAACCCATTTTTCTTCTCTGTGGTTAATATCAAAGCATTTTCACATTCATTTTATCAATAGGCTACAACACAGAAACATTTTTATCAATTGGTAATCATGACAATCTGATACGTCGATTCTCTTAGTGTCAACAGACAGGCTGATCTACGTATTTGACTTCTTTGTTAGTATTGATCCAGATGCTTTTTTTTGTTTTGTTTTGTTTTTTCCCGTAATATTTTGTAGTATTTTTTTTTTCCATTTGTATTATGTGGCGATAACCTCAGTTACTGTTGAAGTATTATCAAATTTAAATGTTGTCCTGCATGCCTTTTTTGCCTTAGCAGATTAGCAGGCTCTTTTTATCATCTTGTTGATGCAGTCATGCAGGACCAAATAAATGAAAAGGAAAGGTATCTTTTGGTATCTGTCGTAACCTCTTTCGATGGTGTCAGGTGGCTCAGAAACGTATGGTTTTAACCAAGCCATGTCAGCGGAAGCCGACCTGGGGTTTGTGCATAAATCCATGTTTGTTTCCTAAAACGCTTGATTATTCCCTACTCACCGCGGCTGCTTCTGCAGTTTGCTTAAGTGATGGGCATAATGAATATGCGATGTTGCACCCTGCAGCCACTAGGTGGACATCCTGCAACTTGGTATGGAAATCTGTGACATTCTGGAGGCAAACTGGGTTTTGCTGGAAAGCCTGCTTTGGGCAAACTTTGTGAATTGCATTTTTTTCCCAGACATGCAGTCACTGCACTATCCATATAGTTGTTGTTAATCCACTGGTACCTTTGATACAGGGAGGCTTTGTGGCAATCCAGATGTGCAGTGCACTGTGGCCTTAGGATATGTCACAGTTTTTCTGCTGGAGTTTCTGTTGAGAGTAGATTACAGCTCCCCCTGCCTTCCAGTGGCCTGGGTGGGGGCTCCTGGTTCTGCTTTAACGTTCCACTGTTCAGGTAACATGGTGTGATCTGTGATAATGAGTGCCTCAGAAACCCCTTAGCGCCCCTCCCCCCCCCTCCCCAGAGCTGCGTTTCTGGCAAGCTGGCCAGTGGGTGCATAGATCAGAGGTCTTGAAGTGGTGAGGTGTCTTTGGACTAGAGATGGCCGATCCACATTTTCTCAGTTCCAATCTGATTCCAATAACACTGTGGATACCAATACAGATTCTGACACAAGCTCTTTTTACTTTAATATTTTAATTTGATTTATATATATAAATATTAGTAATATATAAACTAGTAAATACTAATGAAAAAATGTATGCCAAAAATCTTTAATTAGGCTTCTAGATACACACATCACGTACTGTTTCACCTCGTTTGTAGGTCTTGTTTATAGCGTTTATGAGGCATTTGCAGTTCAGTTTGAATACCTTCCAACGGAGTATAAGCATGTGGCGAATGCTTTAAATGCCCCGCAATGTTTCTCCCACTGGCAACAGCGTCATTACACTTCACTGCGACAGCAGCCCATCATGTATCGCACAAGCTGTAGCGAGTGCGAAAAACGGCCCAAGCTAGCGACTCCCAAATCATCCACTGCTTTTTTCATATTACTCGTGTTGTCTTACACAATTGTGTGTGCTTTGTTTAGTGGGATTTTCCATTAAATGCTGCTTCCACCTTTCAAAAACTGCAAATGTCTGTGCTGCTAGTTGTTAATAGCCTAAATTACTTCCTGATCGTCACCTTCTTATCTGATGTTCTTCCACTGCCCCTACTGCGAAGGGTATGCTCGTGACGTCACGGCGAGCGGAGTCACTGCACTCACACCTACTGAGTGACAAAAAAACTGAAAACGTTCAGCTTGAATGCTGCAAAGAAACACATCTAACACAGGAATGAGCTGTCATGCAACTGATTGTACAAATAGATTTAACAAGGAATAGGAGCCGTCTTTTTACAGACTTCCGAAAAGTAAATAAGTAAGTATCGGATGTGGATTGATTACATACGACCAATCCCCGATCCATCTAATAGGCCTGGATCGGTGACGATACCGATCTGAATACCGGGTCAGTGCGACTCTCCTTCAGACCATTGCTGTCCCTCTCTTGTGAGACAGACAGTAGTGAAGGAGCCTAAACAGTCGTTCTCCCCACTCTTCAGCAAAAGCTTGCCATGCAGGAGAAGCTGTGCCAGCTGCAGCGGATGATGGTTCTCGTCACGGAGGCCCTGCACCAGAAGGAGGGTGGCGGCAAGCCCGGACCGCCCCCCCTCTCTCCGTCTGCAGTGAGCGCAGGTGCGCTCGGCTCGGTCTCCCTCACCTTGTCAGATGGGCGGTGAATTAGAGTTGTCCTGTGTCTTCTCATTTGCTGCGAATCCCAGGTTAGCACATGAAGAATTTTTCCTTGCCTTTGAATGTCCTGTTCAGGTGTCCGTCCCTGCCCGACCTCACCCAGTGACGGCCGGAGAAGAGCAAGCATCTCTAGGTAATTTCTGGAACTTTCAATCCCAATAACTTCGAGAGATAAGTACTTCCTCCTGGTTATCATTAACATAATTTAAAGTTGACCTTTACTCAAACCATTCAGTTACATTCTTTTGGCTAAGTGATTGTGGTTGGACCTTTTTAGTGAAATACTCTGATCCTTAATCAGAAGTGCAACCTTTGGGTCTCGAGCGTTCAAGGGTTTTTTGGATAGGGTCCGGTATCCTTCCGCAGTCTGTAATTCATTCGCAGCCACTGGGATATCTCAGCCCTTCAGGAGGCTGATTTATTTCTGCAGTGGTGGGTTAGAGTATGCAGGGTATGAGTTTTCGGAGCGTAGAGTAGCTAATAATCTCCCTAATGAAGCCAGCGCCTCCCCACGCTGCGAAGAATAAGGAAGCGATTAGCAGCCACGTGGTATTTGTCATTTTAAGGCACTTGAAGGGGGGAGCTGTAGAGCAGTTGTAATTTATCTCCCCTGCTTCGATGCTCCTCTCACAGGGAGGTAAGCGCTCCCCTCAGCGACAGCGAGGGAGCGGAGCTGTGCAAGGCGCTACTTAGCTTTTCATTTAGCTGCAAACTCTTATGAGGCGATAACGCTTTGTGCCCGTTATCGCTGGCAGCCGAGGGGTTATTGCTGACAAAGAGCAACCCCCCCCCCAAGAATGACTTATCTGAGCAAGCAGAAATTACGCAAGTCATTGGGTTAGACAGCAGAGCCGCCCGCAGGTGACTCGCCGTAAAAAGTCGAGGTTCCGCCAGGTACAGGTTGCAGGTGACGTCACTGTGCCGCCCCCCCCCCCATCTGCCGGCAGACCGCAGACCCCCCCGCCTGGCCAGGCCCTCGTATCCCCCACCCAGAAAAGGACCCTGAATCCTGTCTGCGCCCTTCCTGGTTCCGGAGCCTCAGAAGTCCCACAAGATGAAGGCAACATCGCAGAAGGTTAAAAATGAATTTCAAAAATGTGATTCTAAATTTGATCATGATGGGTTTTTAAAGTTTTCTATAGTAGTAAAGTATGATAAGTAAGTATAGTGAATGTTTGCACATACAGTCAAACAGTCTGGCCACTTTAACAGCGTTATGGGGGAAGTATTTCTGCAAGCGTTTAATTTTTCCCCAGCATTAAACACTGAGACATTACAGAAGGGAGATGGAATCTGGAAGCAGGGAATGGACCGACAATAGGCTCCTTGTGTAGGTAGTGCAGGGATACGTTTGGGTCTGAGTGCATGAAGCCAGGCCTCTGGCGACTTGCCGATGATTCTGGGCTGCAGCGCTGGTATGAGCACGGCCGCATTAGGGGCAGGCTGTGATGTCAGGGCTGAGGCCGGCTCTGCATTCGGAGCTTTGGCAGTGCCAAGGGGCTAAGCGGCTCCTTGGTATGAAATCAAAGGCACTGAAGTTTCCACGCATAACAGTACGGGGGGGCGGGCTTGGCGTGAGACCCTGATTGGGGAGTAATGATGAGATGTGAGTGGTTAGGAATGATCTGTAGCTGACGTCGTAAAAGCGGACTGGCAGACACACGTGTCTGTGTGAAACGTGGAAATGGCACCATCCTCAAAGTCCTCACTTAGGACCAAGACCACGGCCTTGGACTTCCGCCCTCTATCCCAGCCCAAACGTGTGTGCGTGAAACCCAATAACTGTGTCCATCTTGACTTTCATGATGTGTTCCGGGAGCACTGGGTAGACTGGCACTGCTCCGGTGCCAGCGTTTCACTTTGTGTAAACCCAGTGGTGTTTCTGCCATCTCCCCAAGTGGTTCGACCTCCCTGTAAATGGGAAGAGATGATAAAGTTGCTGTCTCAGGCTTCTTAAGAATTGTCCTTCAGAAGTGGATGCCTTTTATGCAGTTTTTATAAAAACTAACCCCGTTTGATATGGTGGTTTCTGTGTTCACACTCACGGTCTGACATTTACATTTATCTGACACTTTTATCCAGAGTCACTTAGAGCAGAGGGAAGGGTTACAATTTATATATACTCCCTGGGATTTGAACCCACAACATTTGTTGTGGTGCTCTACTATTGGAGTATAGTACCCATAACGACTGCTTGGTCTTGTATGTAAAAGTGTGGTCCCTTGTTACGGGGACACTGTTCTATTTCCAGGCACTCTGTGAAAGCCTGGCACCTGAAGGACGCAGCGTGTGTAGCCAGAAGGGCTTTCAAACGCAGCTTCCTGCCGCAGAAGCTCATTAGAGGAGCCGTTTGGGGCTGAGGTTGTTACCCACGCAAACGTGGCTGTAGATGGCATAAGCCGTTTCCTTGAGACACCATGATGGAATGTGTTTTCAGGGACGGGAGTAGTTTTTTATGACCCATGTGTTGCAGATACTCGTCTGCAGAACCAGTGGAGCACCCGGCTGGTGCTAGTCTAGGCTGGCTCCTCTGGGCTTGTTCTCCGACCTGTCAGACACTTTGTGAATGTTCCTTCCACCATTCCATTAGGTCGGAGTGGTGGCTCTGAGGCTAGGGATCTGAGCCAGCAACTGGAAGGTTGCCGGTTCAAATCCCATGAATGCCTGGAGTGATCCTACTCCGTTGGTCCCTTGGGCAAAGCCCTTAACCTGCAATTGCTTAGTCTTGGGTATGACGTTAATCTACATCCAGCCCTATAAAGAGGACCTACAACTTACAGGGAAAAACTTGGGGGGTTGGTGGCAGGATTTGCTGAGGTATCACCTGCCACCTGGCTGCACTCAGGTTCTCATCCCTGAGGTGGTTTGTCGTGTGGTGGCTTCGGCAACGCGCTGTAATCAGTGCACGCTCCTTACCCCTCTCTCCATTCCATTAGCCTAAATGCTGAATGTTTTGATTTATTTTAACAATGATAATCTTCACGAAATGTGTTCAATGATTATCTCCTGTGGCTCTGGGTTAGACCCTAATTTTTAGGATACAGTTTCCTTCAGGTTCTCCAGATTCCCTCTACGGAACATGCTAAGGTGAACTGGAGTGGCCAAAATGTCCGTAGGTGTGAATGTGTGTGTGGATGGTATGTGTGCCCAGCCATGGGTTGGCGTCCCATCCTGGGGTCTTCTCTGCCTTAAACCTGCACAGGACAAGCAGTTAGAGAAGCTGGGTCGACAAGTAAAGTTACAGACTGCCACCCAGGTGTGTTAAGGGTGGTCTGCTTCTTATGCCAGACTGTATCTGCTCTGTATGTTATGTTTTATATCTTATATTAAATTTAGAGCACTGATTACTCTTCTAGTCCAAAGCTGATGAGTTCTACACGGTCAGTCTCACAATCAGCTGTATGCCTGTACATCAGAGGGCGACGGAGACGACATCACTACGGCGACACTGGAATGGACAGGGGGTAGAGCCCAACACCGCGCCACAGGGGTGGAGCCGGGCCCGAGAGGTGAAACCTGCTTGCCCCCACCGCAGCCGCGTAGCCACACGCCCAGACAGCCGACCCAGAGCCGCGCCAGTTGTGGCAAAATGGTTCTTGTGGCTTCTGGGCTGAGCACGACAGAACTGGTGAGTGAGGAACACACCTGGGTCCTATCATCTGGGGCTGTTGTGTTCTCTCATTCGACACCGGCAGAATGCGCATGAAGTACATGAAAGACGAACTTTGTCGTACTTAATTTTACTTCATTTTGTTCCTGCCAACTGCCCTCCTTTAATGAAAATGATCTGCACAGTTATCACTGACAACCATGAGTCAGATGTATTTTGACTCATGTTCTTTGTCCCTGCCATTCCCACCCTCATCCCCCCCCCCCCCTCATTATTTAGTCAGTGGTAAAGAAGTTTGCCAGAAAGATGGGGGGCAGCGTGTGTGCGGAGGTGACCCCAGAAACCACCCACATCATCATCAAGACGGGTGAGTCACGTACCCGAAGGCCTCCCAGTTAGCACTCAGTATTAATAGCAGTAGTAGTAGTAGTAGTAGTAGTAGTAATACTTGTAGTAAAATAGATGGCTTCAGCTTTAATCTGTAAAAGCACAGTTGCAAAACCCACCAGGTCTTAATTGCTTCTCTTTATTCTGTCCTCAAAGCCTTCTCATCCAAAGCCCCACATCTGTAGACTAGTAATGAAAATGTTTCCCTGGCAACAAGCAAATGGAATTTCTGGCCCGTGAACTGAAGGGGGGGGGGGGTGTTGACGATAGGTGGCAGGACCTGGAGAGGTGGACGGGAAGTAACATAACATTGTTCTTGGTTGGGCGGGAGGGGTCGAATTTTTATTCTTCCGGCCCCCCTCTGGATGTGAATAAGAGTCTGGCCCGACAGTTGTGATCAATTTGAAATATAAAAATGCTGCATTACTATACCTCTTCCCTGGTTTACTGAAGTTTACTGAAGTCAGCTCCATGGTCCTGGTGCTGTGATTTGCTTTTTTAATGCCCCTGATTAGGGTTGTATCGGCTCATCAGACTCATTTAGCCATAATTGGTGCCGGCTTTCTGTGGTTCCGGCGACGGCCCAGTCATGTGCGTGTCTGATTAGCCCTGTGTCGCCCTTTCGATCGACCGTGCTCTCCGAGGTCCTCCTCTGCCCCTTTGGCCAAGGCGGTCACTGGAGTGCTGTGCTGGCTGAAGTATGGCATAAAAAACAAAACTGTATAAACCCAGTGAACGTTGGCATGTACCCAGCTGATCTACATCATGTGTTCCACACCCTGAAGATCAGTTTTTATTCTAATCGATGACATCACATCTACACAGGGTATCGTTGGCATCGAGGTGCTGGTGTGGCTCTTTAAGCAGTGATCAGTGTGCTGGTACAATATTGACAGCATGCACATCAATGCCATGCGCTGTAGGTCATTAAAGCAAGCAGTCCGATGTGCATAATTTCAGGCCGGGAGACTGTATAAATGAATGATGCTCTTTTGTTATGGGGGGCAGATTTTGGTGCCTCAGAGTCTAAAGATTTCACTGTTTACTTTGTTACTGATGTGCTCACTGTTGCAAGCTTTTAGGGGGGTAGGACATGTGACTGGGAGGTGGCAGACAAAGCAGATTACTAGATAATGGGGTGCTGTGGGGGGTGATTTTTCTCGTCCCCCCCCCCCCAACTCATGACTGGGCTAGACTAAGATTGTATTCACCTTTCAACAGCGAGGAGAAGCAACTGGCTACAGTAGATTTCAATGCTGTAGGCCGACAGTATTGATTGCCAATCGAGATTGAGATCCAGCCGGTCCGTGTCAGCAGGGAACATGGTACACTAAAGCATTTTCTGGTACATTCCTGTAACCTGAGGTCGCCAAGTAATGAAAGACGTTGTTTAACTTGTGGCATTTGAAACTACTAACAAAGTCAGACTCTACCTCATCCTGGGGGGTGTTCTACAAAGCTGGATTTCCCAGTTAGCTGGGTGAACATAAGATAGAAGTAATGAGCGTTTTCCGTATATGATGCCTTCCTATCACTAATGTAATGAGTTAAAGGCAGGTGTTTGGGTCAGAAGTCAGGAAAAATATAGTCAATACACAGCTGCATAAAGTGCTTTAAAATATTCTTGGATCTTGCTTTTGCAAGAACTATGTGCAAAGAAAAAGAGTTAATTATGAGAAGCAGCAGTCTGGTTTATCCATCTGCAAAACAAACAATATTTTGCTTTGGGGCCATAAATCTCACTGGAGGCTGGGATTGTAGCTCTGAATCAGCAAAGTAAGAGCTGGAATTGGCTGCTTGAAGACAAACAATGTCTTCTGTGGAAATTTTTAAGAAATTTAAATGGTGATTTTGTTTGTTTTTGTCCAGACAGATGAGTCTGTCCCTTTGTTCAATAATTCCGTTTTTTCTGTGGCCTGTGTGAGCAAGATACAGTGTGTACACAGAAGCGCGTTTCCGCATGACATCGCCTGTTGTGCCGCTTGGCAGTGCCCCAGCCATCCTACCTCACCACCCCGTTCTGCCCGTGCTGTTTGCAGACGCCAAGCTGGTGTGTGAACGCACACTGAAGTACTTCCTGGGCATCGCCGGGCGCAAGTGGGTGGTCAGCTTCCACTGTAAGTGTCCCGTGGCGCCTTACACCAAAGTGGCTCGAAACCTTCTGTTTTATATAAGTTTCACAAGTAATACTGTCCGTGACATCCCATAATGCCAGTGTGCTGCTTCCCTGCAGGGGTCACTCAGAGCTTCAAACGAGGAAGCCTACTGCCAGAAGTGAGCTCTCTCGCCTGCAACCATTCTAACTTCTAAAATAACTTCTGCCCCCTTAAATCACCCCCGCGTGTTTGCCATGGGGTCTGTGTAAACCTGAAACCTTGTGCTTTGTTACCCCTATAAACCCCCCATAACTGACCTCTCATTGTGTCTGTATGTGGGTGGGGGTCATTGTTATCACATTGTGGTGTTTAAAAACCTATAACCTTTTACCTTGTGAGGATATTTCTGTAGTCCCCAAAAAGGAAAACTCCAATTTTATAAAAGTCTTAAGCAAACTAAAAATGCCAAAAGTCTTGTGTTTTGTTTGGTTACTTTTGGTTAAGGCTAGGGTTAGGTCGGGGTTAAGGTTATCATAGTTTACATTACAGTTTTGCCCATAGAAATCAATGGAGAGTCCTCATAGTGTATGAATACCAACCTGTGTGTGTGTGTGTGTGTCCTTCCTTTAGGCACTGTTTGAGGTTCGAGGAGACACAGCAAATGGGGCAGAGCACCGAGGTCCAATGCGAGCCCGCACCACCGATGAGCAGAAGGTGACCACATGCATCTCCTGCATACATTGCTGGAACGCTCCTGGTTTAAAATAGCATTTTAAGCAGGCTGTCGAGCCACCAGGCTGCAGGTCCTCGGTAATCAGGCCGGCAGGACGGGCAGAGTCACTCCGCCTGTCTTGGCCCTGCAGGAGCAGCCGCAGCTGGGCCAGTGGCGACCGCCCCGGCGCAGTGCAGATGGAAGGAGGCGGCCTGGGAGATGAGGCGCCTCCGCCTCTCCCTGACGCTCTCCCTGACGCTCTCCCTGACAATGCAAATTGGCATGATTAATTAGCGGCCAGTAAGAGGAGCCATGTTAATCGGACCTTCTGTCTGGTTTCCCGCTCCTACCTGCTGTTCAGCTCATGGTCTGCATAGCTGCCAGCTGAGCACTGGAACTGATACAGTGAGTTGACACTCTTTGCTCTCCTCACCCTCACTGGAACAACGGGCAAGCACATCTTCTCATCCTGCCCCCAACCCCCCCGTCCATTTTTTTGGGAACAGGCAGGAGTAGCACTGGATGAAAGCTTGCTGGCTTTCATTTCGTCCCTTTCATACCCGGCTTTGAGATCCTGACTGCAGGCCGCTCGCTTCGTCTCGCTGACACTGCCGAGCGCCACTGTCTCCTGCCTCACTGCTTCACACTCGGCTCCTTTGAAGTGCCCTAATTGAATTATTCTTTACTTTCAGGCCTATTAAAGACTTAATCGCCATTTTCTTTTTTCCAAACCTGCAATAATTCGGGGAGGCTGGGGAGCTGCTGTCCCTGTGTGAAAACCAATGCTACAAAAGAGAGGTTAATTGTCTTTTGGCATTTGTCAAATCAAGGGGCTTGGGGGGTGGTTCTCCCAACCAGCAAGGACCTGAACTGGAAATCTAAAACTGAATTTTTATTCTGAAACACGTGCCGCTGATAATCACCCGAGAGGGGCAGAGATCCCATATATTTAATCTTTTTGCATTATGGGTTTTTATGGAGGTGTTGAGTGACTCAGCAGGTTAAAGGACTTTGTGCCTGTGATCAGAAGGTCGCCGGTTTAAATCCCATGACTGGCAGACTGGTGCCACTGTCGAGCCCTTGAGCAAGGCCCTTAACCCCAGTTGCACTAGGAGTGCTGGACCCTGCCTGACCCTGTGCTCTGACCTCCTGCACTCTTTGTGTCTTGGTGAGCTCAGTGACATTCCCCATAGGGATGAATAATGTATCTATATATTTGTGGGTATTTGCCATATATAACAGTCTTCGCTCTGTTTTTTTGTTGGTATAGGCACAGAGCCTGATTGGCTGGTGGTTGCTGTCCTGCTGTGCTTGTGCAGTGTGTAATTAAAAAGACCAAACCTTCGCAGTTGGAATCTGCTGAATGGGGCCCCCACTGCTGCTCATCTACGGTATTTTTCTTCATGCCTCTAAGTGCCTGTGTCTCTCCCTCGCCCCAGCTGCTGATGAGAGGGTGTGAGATCTCCTTCCAAGGCTCCTTCACCAACATGACAACAGGTACGAGAGACCCAGAGACTCAGAAGCTGCCAGATGCACCTTTACCATGACCAAACCTCCAGATGCTAACTGATTTACCCAGATGGGTTCTTCCTAGTTTAGCCATCATTACTTTGGGAAACATGGTGATATTTTTGTTTTTGTTCTGCGATTCATTTTATATGGCATTTAAGAGAAGATGAACTTGAAATTGTTGGCGTTACAGCAGCAATTAAAAAGGATCAAACACTACCCACAATATAAGAGCACAGTATGAAGGGATGTGTTTATGTGCATATATGTGTATAATAAACAATGGACTGTATACAGACATCCAAATAGCAGCCAAAGTCTAAGACCTGGGATAGTATTATAGAAAGTGAGGACTGCCTGAATACGCAAACATAGACCATGAGGTTAGGAGGTTCAGTGTGAGCAGACATGGCATATAGCAGGAATAATAATGACAGCAGCAACAACAACAGCAAGAATATTATTAATAATTTCCTCATGTTACGATGATGCTGTTGAGACAGGAAGAACATTTTACAATGAAAACTGGGTGCTGAGATTGGATGCAAAGATATTTAGCTTATTTTAGAATGTGAAAGTGAAGATTTGGGTTTTTTAAATTGCTACATGACTAGACCTTAAGGGGTGTTACTACTGGCTAATCAGGGTGCAGGGAAAAACAAAAAAACGGTTTTGCTGCAAAAAGCGATGCTTCAGGGTTGTGATTCTTATGTCACCACCAGAGTTACAAACAGATTTTTAAATGTCAGTATAAACATAGGTTACTGTAATTATACTACTTCGGAGTGGTTTTAAACCACCGGGAACAGTCGTAAACCAAACATAAGGCAATATGTCTGACAGCATGTCCAAATAACAAATTCTAAGAGACATTTGTTTGCACAGTAGAAAAATATGTAAAAATTCAAAAACGACTGCATCATAACAGTGATAGTTAACTAAACCCTGTGCTCTCTACTAGTAGTGCTAGTAGACTTCTGCTGAATATGGCTGCATATCTGTAGCGATAATTGCTCCTTTACCTTTAGTTATTGTTTTAGCCTGGTTTGAATTTCCTTGCAAAAGCACCTTAACAAGACCAAGACTGCCTGTTGGCACTATCAGCTACTCTCGGGTGTTGATGTTATTTATTGAGAAACCAAAGTGTTCCCGAACTGTTTATTATGACTGAGTGACTAACCAGCATTAGCTGTAACCAACTCACGCCACAATTTCCATAATGTTTTTTCCTGTTGAATATCTACTTGTGAGTTTAGGTTCGCCTGTGTCAAAGTTCCAGATAATGTCATTGGATATACCAGTATCAGTATCGTATCGCAGTACCAAAAATGTACAGTACGAGTTTATCATTTTACAGATTTCGATGTTTATGAAGTTATGTCGTTATTGTCGTTTTAAACTGAACGAAAACTGTGAACGCACAGACAGACAGCTCCAGTATGCAACTCTTGCACCAAGCAGGCTACGCATGTAACCTTGCAAAACCTTGGTCACTCGCTGACCCTGATTTTATACAAGGAGTTTAAAGATTGTCACCTGTGTATGAGATATGACACAATAACTTCTAAAAGATATGACTATCATGTATCTCGTGTTTGTTTTCATGTTCAGCCTATGTGCGAGTCCATTCATATCCCTTTCCTCAGTACCGTAAAGTAGGATCGGCTAAATGACCAATGGAATAAACACAAATATTAACTTAACATTTGGGTATTGTCGATGAGATTTTGTAAAAGCTCAGGCCAGATTAATATCAGAATGTATGTATTGAATGGAGTCTAATTTAATCAGTCTCACTGATAATATTTAAACTATATATACTGTTAATGTAGGTTTAATTCATACGTAGGCCTGTTATTTCAATTCCACGTACTTTTTAAACACGGATGTTTTTACAGTATCGATTTTAGTATTGATTTTAGTATTGATTTTAGTATTGATTTTAGTATTGATTTTAGTATTGATTTTTGTATTGAATATGAGGTACGAAAGCTGGTATCAGTATCAAAGTCAAAATTTTGGTATCGATCCAACTCTAGTGCCAGATACTCGCTTTTTGAAGGAAATGGTATCTAACCTCAACTGCCTTGATTATGAATGCTTGCTGAGTCGCGTTTCCTGCTCTGTTGTGCTTCTTGAACTGGCAGTTGAAATGCTTTGGCTATTGTCAGGAATGTTTCAGAAGCACAAGCTCGGATTCTGTCAAGGTTATACAGTCCTGTCTGCTGTGAAAAGGTGCAGAGTATGTGGCGGTTGCTTTTCCAGAATTCCCAACAGGACCTTTTCTCCTGCACCCATTATCCATGTGCTGCACCTGAATTGCCTGAATTAAATGCCAACAGTACAAGTGGGGAACAAAACGTACAGTATGAGCGCTTGTTGATTTCACATAAACGTGCTTTGCATGCAGGTAAGTAATAATGAGGAAAATTAAGTAACCTTTTAACTTAATTTTAAGGAGGATTAATCTCTGCAGCTGTGCTCCAGTTCAACCTAGTGTTTTGTGGGGTCGTTTGAGAGGACATACACTCAAACTCTTAGCCTCAGTTTGAGACGGCGCACCAACCAGAATACGTTTCACAAACACTTTCGTCAGAAGAGTACTTGAAATAAACAGCCCTTGCAGGCATGGTGACTGACCAGGAACTGAAAATGGGGTTTGCGGCGCTTTAGCTAGTTTTAAAACCATTTCCCTTAGGATCAACTAAAGATGTTTTTATTCAGATTTGATGGGGTCTTAATGGCACTATTAGGTACAGCACTGGAGAGCTGAGAAGCAGCAGCTGTGGTAGATTCTTTGAGTTCATCTTCTAAGGGATGTTTTATGGAGCACACATTGTAAATCTGTATACTTGTCCTGTATTGAGCCCAGAAAGCCTCAAGGATGAAAGTGCAAAAAGATCGTTCAGCCCCTTCTCCTGGGTTAGTCAGCCTCGGTGTCAAGGTAATCTTTTCACTAAGTTACTTCCTTGACGCAGGCTTTGTCTTTGAAGCCAGGTGCTTCAAATAGAATGGAACTTCTAAAATACGGTACATTCATCCGTCTGTTTTCCAGAAATGCTCTTCTAGCTTAGGGATGCAGTGAGTCTGTAGCCCGTCATGAAGAGCAGAAACCCTAGACAGGATGCCAGATCACTGCTGGGCACGTGCACACAATCACGCTGTGGCCAATTTAGACACACCGGCTCAGCAAACAGCATGGGAGGTGTGAGGCCGTGCAGCTAAGCCCATATGCCCCCCAGGCGTAAACTAAAGAGTAGCAATGATTTAAGACGTCAGAGAAATGTCTGTCCAATCATCCATCTTCCAGCAGTTTTTCCTGGTCAGGGTCAGGGGGACAGGAATGTCCTGGTTATAAAATAAATGTCATGAGCCGCGTCAGGGAGTTTGCCACAGAGCAGGTACTGAGCACACTTAAAATCTTTCGGTAACCTCTGCCAGAGTTTTTATACATTCTCGGGACTGAATTTGTTGAGATGAAAAAGGCGCTGAACTAGTGAAAGCAGAGCAGTGGACACCTTTGCGTTCTGCCGGCAGTAATTGCGTTCTGGATGAGTCTCTTCATTCTGTCATGAGAATTGGCTCTGCTGTTTCATTTGTGCTGTGATTTTGATTAATAAGTGGGTGAGCTGGCAGCCTGATTATGAATGTGCATGAGTGATGCACCTATACAAATACAATAAATAAATAGGGATGCTGATTTAATGCCCCATCAGACCTTTTGAGGGGCCACTGGCTCAAAGGATTCTGCAGATTTTACAGGCCACATAACCCCACATAATTTAACCATCTTTGTTTTGGGAAGCAATGTGATACTTATGTTTTTGTTTTGGAAGGTTCTGATCTCTATCACTAGTTCTGCTTTCCATCCACAAAGTCTAACTGTGTGTGTGTGGTGGGGGCGGGGGGTCCAGGTATATATTACATTATGGAGACAAGTGTCCCCACAATGTGATTTAAAAACCTGTTATTTTGATGTTGTGGGGACCATTTTTTCAATTCCCACAAGAGGAAATTCAATTTAATAAAAATCTGTGACTGCAATCTAAAAACTATAAATGCCAAACGTCTTGTATTGTTTGGTTACTCATGATTAAGGATTGGGCTGGGTAGGCGTAAAGGTTATATATATGTGTGTGCGTGAGAGAGAGAGAGAGAGAAAGATGCTTTGCATGGTATAAAAACCATTTTGTTGGCAGCATGCCATGGCTCACTGATGTCTGGCACACTGATAGGGATCTTTCACGCAGGCATTTCATCTGCTGACTGGCTGATCGGCGTGCAGGCTTGGGGTAGAGCCGTCCTTAATGGAACGTGTTCCCTTGGTGTGTTTCCCAAGAAACACAAGGTCCAGTTATTCCCTTCCGCATGACCTCCTTCACAGGAAGTTAATTTATTATTTATCCAGTTCCTAGGAGCAGATCTATTAAAAAGCTCATCTCTGTATTACACTGAGGACTGAAACATGTGACATGTGGCCTGAAAGAGAAGATTAGAAGTTAATGTAAACCCAATGCTAAATCAAAAAATATTGCCAGCTTGGGTTGCAGTGGGCACGAGCCACAAGGATTAGCCTGGGGTTGAAAAAGAAGGTGCCGGTTGTTAATGCCAACTGCGTCTTGGTCTCTGTCTCAGGTCAGATGGAGTGGATGGTGCAGCTGTGTGGGGCGACAGTGGTTAAAGATCCATCCCTCTTCACAGCAGAATGTGTAAGACTAAAACATCTTCTTCTTTTAGTTTTAAATCCTCCCTGCCTTCATTTCTCCTTTCTTCCCCGTCGCTCTCCCGACCTCCTCTTATCCATGCCCTTTCTCCCTCTGCTCACTGCCCACTTTTCCTCCAATTACTTTTTCTTATCTCATGCACTGGCTGGAGGAAGTGGGCAGACCTGTGCTGAGCATGCTGGGAAATGCTGAGCATGCTGGGAAATGCTGAGCATGCTGGGAAATGCTGAGCATGCTGGGAAATGCTGAGCTCTGCATGGCCTCCCTCAGACAAGCCGCTTCTCTGATATGGCACTGATGGCTGACCTGTGTACTCCTCTGTCATCTGTACTGTAGAAATCCAGCCCGGTTCCATCTTTCTTTTTTTGCCATTGTTCATCAGTTCCAAGACTCCGTTAGCCTTTGCGTCTGTGATGGTGAAATAGTGAGGGGGATGACTGTGGAGAGTGACATATTTCCTGCAGTCTCAAACCGTTTTAAATGAATATTTAACATCTTGTTTATTTATGTATTTTTTTTAATTGATCGGTAAGGTAATCTAAATGTTATTGAATTTATTCATTGATTTGTTTATCAAAAATAGTATTTATTAATGTGAGATATAAAATGCCTGCCCTCCTTATGAAATATTAATCTAATGCTTTATTCAGATTAGTCTTCTGTAAGACACTTTTTTTCTAATCCTTGAATTGCTTATGCATCTTATGCGCTAATGACTGAAATGTCAAGTAATCTGTTTAAGAAGTTTTTGTTTTCGTACTTTGGCACTGCTCTGTGCTGTATTAAGGCAGATTTGTGGTTATTAAATGGAAGTTTTAGCTTTGGGAACCATCACAGAATTACATAGAAAGCAACTGGAATTTCAAGCAGTTTAAGTAATGTCTTAAGCCCAAATAATTCTGTAAAAAATGAAGAATTAATCGTTTGTAGCCACTGTTCAAGTCTGCTTTGTTCAAGCAGTTTCTTTGAGTCTGAAACTCTGTCGTCTGTTACACATGACTCCTCTATACTGTCCATGAAGACGGAGGCTGTGAGCTTGTTCTCACGCAAAGTACTGTCAGACCACGTCAGTGTATCAGTTTGCCTCATCACGACCCACACAGTGCTGTGAAGGGGACCCTGTTCCGGCTGGCACATCTCTCACCATCGAGCTTTAAGGCGCCCAACTCGCAACAGAGAATAATGGCTGTTATATCACACCGTCTTCATTGGCCAGTGACACAAGGCGGTCTCAGTTGTCCAATGACACAAGGCGGTCTCAGTTGTCCAATGACACAAGGCGGTCTCAGTTGTCCAATGACACAAGGCGGTCTGTTGGCCGATGGCATGACGCCATTAGCTGCATAAGTCAGGCTGAACTACATAGAAGTTCTTTGGTTTCCAGAGTTGTTTGGACACACAATGTTTTTTTTGCTTCTTGATCTTTGCTGTTTTATTGGAGATCATACCGGATCTAATCTTCTTGGTTATCCATGTTCTTCCCCTGCAGAAGTCTAATCTGCGGCTTGTGGTGGTGCCTGGAGATTCCCAGACGGATTACAAAGGTGAGCCAGTAGGCAAAATCTAGTCTGCCGTCTGCTCTGCAGGACTCAAAGCCCCTGCTGTTTGGTTGGCTGCTATGAAATTCCCATATAGGAGAAACCTTTGTTGTAAGTAAGTTCAGGCATTCCCCATCAGAGCAGTGCTGACACTGTAAATTGGTATGGTTCTGCTTGGGGGTTCAACAGGATAGTTGCCGTTTTTGAAAAGCCCTGCTTATACTGTAGCTGCTGTCCTGAGCCCTGTCCCTACATCCACCTGCCACTGTTTTATCCACAGCTGTCCAGCAGAGGGCGATGGTGGTGTCCCGGCCCTGGTTACTGGACTCTGTGGCTACTTACACCCTCCAGAATCCTGACGACTATACAGTCTGAACTGGCTCTCCCGGTGGAGGGGGGGAGTCTGGGTCGTGGGCCCTCCCCAGCATGGTCTTGGAATACTGTGGGAGATGTCAGCTTTTTTTTCACCCCCACCAGTTCTCAGCACTTTATGCCCCCCCCCTCTATTTTTAATGTATGCTGCAGCATCTTTAATTCTGAGACCCATTTGAATGTATGCGTGTGTCTGCAAAGAAGAGAAACCCACACATTTTACTCTAATTTTTGACCCATGACCTGATTCTGATCAGCGTATCCCGTGTTGATACTTGCACCAGTATAAATGTTGTTTTTGTATTGTTTACTTTCACTTCTGTGTTCCTCCCGCGTCAAAGGGGAAAAACTGCATCGAAAGCTGTCTGCAGGCCTGGGGGGGGGGGGCGGGGGTCATGTGAGGCTGATGCTACTGTAAGTGATGAAATATTTGTATTACCTCCCCATATCTTTTGATGGCAGCGCAGTAAATTACATTTGAAGAGGTTCCTCTGTCCCTGACATCTACCTGTTCTGTTCCCATCTTCACACCTTCCATCTCCCCTTGTTTTATTGTTATTATTATTATTTTTTAAATCACAGGCCCTGTGTTCACCATCTCTGCCTTACTCGTGTCCGCCCACTCCTGGCTGCCTCTGACATTTACCATGTGCTATATTATGAATGGATAAGCTGTCTGAGCAAATGTCATGCTCAGATTTTGACGGCGAATGCTGAGCCGGACAGGGCCGTAGGCGGAGAGTTGAGCGTAGGGGAAGAACTCTCCTGGGGTGCCCTGGCCTTTCCCGGCTGCTGTCTGCTCTGCAGATATGCCACGCCGCGTGGCTCTGGTGCAGGGTGGCGGTCTCCAGCACTGCGGGCTCTCGGCGCTGAGGTGTTGGCGCAGTCTCCGACGAGGGCTTAGCTTCCACACAGCAGCGGGCGCCTCCTCACTTTCAGCTCAGTTTGACCTTCATCTGACTGCCGTTATCTCGCCTCTCCTCGCTTCTCATGCATTGGATGGAGGCGTAATGCAGAGAGCGAGAATGAATGAGTGGTTTGCCGTAACTCACCCAGTAAACAGGGCTGGTGGGTTCAGCAAAGTACGGAGTGCTTCCTGACTGGGACGACGTTCCTTGTGAGCCCCATAATATGAAAGAGGACAGCACACCTGCACAAAATGCCTGATGACAAGCAGCTTTGGTTGAAGTTAATACATTTCAGCTACTTTCACTGAGAAACAAACAGGTGTGTATTTCATCGAGACATTTTCGTGCTGCTAGGAGGGACAGTGTGAATTCTTAGTTACATTTTTTTGTTACTGTTCTGGATCATCCAGCCTTTAACCACGGTGAGGGACTGAACACCAAACTTTCTTTCTTTGCCTTTGGAGAGAGTTTGGTTGTTGCGATTAGGAACATGGATCTGTCTTTTCTAGATTTTATCATGATTACATGTATGTCAAGATCCCAAAGAGCTCACCATTCTGTTGGGTTTGCTTGACAGTCGGAGAAGCTGCTTTACTTTGTTTTTAGTTTCTAAAATTTGAGGTGAAACTGAAGGTACGCCCGTCTGTCGCAGACCCGGTGTGACTGAGTCAGATGAGTCCGCAGTTGACCTTTGGTGTAATATAACCATCACTTTGGTCCGCATTCCACATCTTGTCATCCGGGCTTTCGTCTAGCCTTTAGGTAGAGATTAGTATGACAGCGTCATGGTTTTTATATGTTAATAATATTGTAGCGCCAGGCAGACCGAGCCATCGCAAGAGCAGCGAAGGACAAGGAGACCTGCTTGCTGGGGCTGAACACGCTCTTTATTGTAGTCCTGAACAGGGCTGTAACGGACACCCAACCTTACTACGCCCAACCGAATATAATCAAGGAAAATCAGGGAGGCTAGACACTGGGAATCAAGGTACACACACGGTGGGTAATTTACATAACTAGAGACACTCGAGTATCGAACAGGGTGCACACAAGACATCGGTAAACATACAAGGCACAAATGGGAAATGCAAGTATTAACTATAAAAATGCAACAATACAACAAGGGCTATATGCAATTACATGCCGGGCATGCTGGGACATTTACAGTTTTGTGCAAAAAGGCTTAGGCTTCCAAAAAGGTTTAAAGCTATTGAGTGAAATATTTGCTTATAAAAATCAGTTTTATATTTAGAATATATACAAATAAACAGTGAGACACTGAAGTAACAAGAATTTTTTTTTAACTAACATCTTATTGGACGGTAAGTATGTAAACCCCTCCTTAAGGGCACCCATGCCAATCTATGCACTGTATTTGTTAAATTCCTCGACCACCTCAATCACTGCAATTTGTTAACTTAATGAGGTTCTAATTATCTACTATGCTACTGGTTGAACTTGTATGGGTATATTGGATGATCACTGCAATTATTGGAGTAACTTGAGGGGGGATTTTGAAATGACAAAGCTGAGACACTAGGAAAGATTATACAAGTCATAGGGTTACATCAATATCAAGTATATAAATACAAGTCAGGCTTTTTCTGTGGCAGCCTAAGAAAGTATTTTATATTATGTAGCATTGCAAGCACATACTGATCTATCCAATAACTGCTTATCCAGCGCAGGGTTCAAAGCTGGGAAATCTTGCCAGTGGATGGCATATAGTACACATTATACATTGCAGTGCTTCTGTTGTAAATGGTGTTGCACTTCAGTATTAGTGTACAGTGCATCATCGGTACTGTCCTACAGATGCCAAATACAGTAATTCTACTGAAACTGGAATCAAGTTTGATTGTCCAGCACTGTGCAAAATCTTGGGCATTCAAAAGAAATGTTTAAAGCTATTTATCTGGGTAGTCAGTGCACATTTGCTCAGAACAAAAGAGCACAATTTAACATTAAAACATAAGCAAATTAAGAGTGATATAATAAAAACTAATAAAAATTTCTTCTGTTCTCAAAAAAGTCACTGGTATCTAGTTGGATGGCTAGATGAACAGCGCTTCAGTCCCCAAACCTCTCCTCAGGGGCACCTCAGCCGTTCCATGTGTTTGTTAAATTTCACCACGAGCTCAATTAACTTAACTAGTTAAAATTAAGTTAATTAAGGTATGCTGGTGGTCAAGTAAAAAAAAAATACATGGCTGTATTATATGGTTGCTGGATATAATGAGCTGGTTTTTGCAGAGGTTTTAAAATGGCTGTTAACACACTTTGACAGCCATAACCGCATAGTTTTGCTGTAACATGAAGATCATTTAAACAACATTTTCATTGGCGGCTTAAGAATTTTGTACAGTACTGTGTGTGTAGTAGCTAAATGATAGTGCACTTTGTCATGAGATAAAACGGGGACTGAGACCTGATTAACTCAATTTCAATAAGAGATGCAGTTACGGTGTGTTGCTGCCTTTTCCTGCAGCCTGCCTTCACGCGCGCATGTCCGCCCTTCCCTGCGTTGCACAGACTTCCTACATCTGCTGATGTTTCACCAAAACAAAACACAAAAAAAATCATCCTTGGCTGCCTGGCAATGCATGATTAACAGTTTGTTCTGTTAAAACTACAAACAAACCTTTGACCAGCAGATCAAACCTTAAAAAGGGTGATTAAAATTAATGAACTGGACTTCTTCAACAGGCTGTAATTTAGCAATCTGGACTCATCTAAAAGAAAAAAACTTCATTGTGCTTATTCAGTACCAGTATTAAATCCAACTCTCATTTAAGCTTAATTAAGGGGTCAGCTGGAATGGGACTCAGCATATATACACACGTTAAGGGCACGTTTTGTGTGTTTGTTGGCTCTGCCCCTTGTCACGAGCCCAGTGGGTCCTGGCTGAAAAGCTGGCTGTGATTCATTTTGCAGGATGGAAATTGGGCAACAGCTTGGGCCAGAGACTCCATAGGAGGCTAAAACTGGAGACTGACCATTTTCAAAAAAAAAAACTAAGCTTGAACTTTGAACTGATAAGACATTTTTACAGAGGGTCCTGCTTATATTAGTCTGAATTCTTACCCGGAATCCTCAGCCTATCAGCATACGCAACCAGGTTATGTATTGACCCAAGCTCGTGTTCATTTCGAATGTTATTTCTTAGCCAGTGCAGTTGTAAATATGTAGTCAGTGTGGTCGCCCATCTCTCCAGGTGCCTGTGTTTATGCAGGTCTATCCATCAGTCTCCAAATGTTCAGTTAGGTAAATTAGTGACTAAATCGTCATGTCTGTGTGCCCTGCACTGGACTGGCATCCGTCTATGGTGTCCCCAACCTGTGATACCTGGGATAATCTCAATGTCACTGAAATGCTTTATTAGATACACAGATATGGAACATGAATGTTTGTGTTTAAGTATATCACTATACATAAACTGTCACCAAATACTAGATAAGCAGGATGGATGAACTATGGAGCGGGTGTGCTAATTACTTCCTGTCTCATCATCCTTGTTGGCGAATGGTGGAATTTGTGACTTTTTTAGCTCACTCATGGCGAGTAAACTACTGGTGGTGATTCGGTCCCATCTGAGTAGAGTTGGACCTACTATCAGAGCCAGGAGCTACTGGTAGAAGCCCAGCAAAAAAAAAAAAAATGTGCGGCAAACAGGACACCATCACCAGCTGTCTCAGGTCATTCGTTATTAGAGAGAAAAAACAAAATCATTTGTACGATGCTGTGAGATTATCAGGAGCGGCTGGAGCACGATCGGTACGCTGAGCTTTCCACAGGCTGCTGCTCATCTGATACATTTCTCATCCAGACACTGCATCATGTGAGGGGGAAGCTATTACTTCTGTATTATACCATCTGTTCTAGATGTTGATTATATTTATGTCATATAGTTATTGGGCAGCGTCTTTCAAATTCATCACATGACCTTGCACGCTGAAGGTCAGAAACGAAACCAATGCCACAGCTCTCGAAAGCCACAGTTAAGCATTCGAAAGAGTGAAATGGTGTCATGAGATGTCCATGTCATTTAGTGAAGGTTCATGCCATTGGCGCAGCTAGAATGCTGTTCCTGTCCCTCAGGAAGGACACGATGGCAGCCAGAGAGCATTAATGGAAGCGTGAGGCCCGGGCCGGCCAGGGACCAGGTGGGCGGCCTGCTGGGAGAGGCCCGGTAATCACGCTTCACCTCCTGCGCGTGGACAGGCAGCTTCACACCCCACAGGAACGTGCACAAGCGGCCAAACTGACAGGAAGCACGTTGCCTGTTTCTTGTCCCCAATTATTGCGACGATAAATGTGCACTCATTTTGTCCTAAGTGGGGGAAAAAGATCATGAATGTGTCATTAACGGCAAATGAAATCGCGGTACCTCCAAGA